CTCCCACCCCGCCGCCGGTAACGCCCCCTTCCCCGCCGCCCCCGACCGAACTTTTCGCCAACTTCCACGACCCGTGAGATTTCCTCTTTTCCTCCTCGGCCCTCGGGACCCCTTTGCCCATCCCTGGGTCGGTCGGATCCCTAGGACTCACTCTGTCCCCGGCTCAGACTCCTGCCCTCCACTCCCAACGTCTGTTGAATCCCTCAGGCCCACTTCTTAGTGGGATCCTCTGAGAGCCACTGGATCCTGGGATTCCCTCCCGCTCCCTTCTCAATCCCTTCTCTCCAAGGGGCCTTGGGATCGCGGGCTCTCCTGATCCTCTGGACCCCGACCGACTAGATTTTCCTCTCCGATTTCTTGGAGTCTCTCAGTCGCTGGATTCCCAAACCACTACTTTCCTCCTTTCTGATCTTCTGTGATCCCTTGCTTCCGGGCATCTGATCCACTAGTCCTTTTCTTTAACTTCCCAGGATCCCGCCATCCTCGGGTCTCCTCAACCTGCCGGATTTCTCTTCTTGGATCCCCGCACTCCTACCACCAGCTCACGAGATCCCTCGGATCTAGGACCCGGGCTCCCCGGGCTTCCCCAGCCGGATCCCGGGTGGGCGCCGGGCGGCGGGTCTTGGGCCAGTCCCTATGGCCGCCGCCCCCGCCTATTCCGCCGGGCTCCCCGGTTCTCCAGGGCCGGGGTCTCCTCCTCCCCCCGGCGGCTTGGAGCTGCAGTCACCGCCACCGCTGCTGCCCCAGGTCCCGGCCCCGGGCCCCGGGGTCTCCTTCCACATCCAGATCGGGCTGACCCGAGAGTTCGTGTTGTTGCCCGCCGCTTCCGAGCTGGCCCATGTGAAGCAGCTGGCTTGTTCCATCGTGGACCAGAAGGTGAGGGCGTGCGTCTCCCCCGATCCTGCTTGGGGCGAGGTCGGTAGGAGGAGGACGCTGGCAGAGGAGGCTTGGGGCCTGGAGCAGGGGAGACGGAGGGGAGCCGACCTTTGGGCAACAGAGGGGAATGAGGAGGGGCAGTAGCCCCCAAGTGCCTCCTCACTGTACCACCTGTTTGAGGGAGGACTGGGCAGGGATGGGGTGCCCCAGAAGCCTCCCCAAATTGCATGTCCCTGCATGTTGTTGTTTTCTGCAGCTGGCAGGGAGGAAGGGAGGGGCCGGCCAGGTGTAGAGTCCGGAGGAAGGGGCAGGTCGGGGCAGCAGATGTGAGGGCACCTCAACTTCCAGGCCCAATCCAGGGCCCCCTATTTGGTGGAAACAGTAGAAATTGAAGCTGGGCTGGCCACAGCGATCGGGTGACATGTGGATGTGGGTGCCTGTGCTAGCTGCCAGGGGCAAGTGAGGTCTCAGAGCCAATCCCTGCCCTCCCCCAGGCCTGAGACTGATGTGGAGGGCAGGCACCTCTTCTGCCTCTTCAGAGGCTCTGCGAACTCTGTCCTCTCTCCTAATCACAGTGTCCCCAGCCTACCCTTAACTTTAGATACCAGGGTCCCCAGGGTGGGGGTCTGAGAGTCCTGGCAAGAGGGAACCAGGTGGAACTCGATGCCTGAATTCTAGAATGCTAAATGTTAGCATTCTACGTTGTCGGAGTACCAGACTGTAAAAATGTTCCAATTTTAGATCCATAAATTGTTGGAATGTGCATCCTAGGTAATTCATTCCTCTGATGTTAAAGTGTTCAAATATTACAATCCTAGGGTGAAATACTAAACATTAAAAATATTACAATCCTAAAGTGTTAAAATGTTAGAATTTTGGAATGCTGGGTTGTTGAAATCCTTTAGTGCTAGGATACTCAAATATTAGAATCCTAGTTTGTCAGACTTCTAGAACATTAAAATATTAGATTACTGCTAATCTAGGTTGTCAAAAGCTTAAAATGTATAATGATAATATGTTGGAACCTAGAATATGTAATTCTATAATGTGAGCATATTGGAATCCAAAAATATC